GCTAGGCACTAAGGCAAGGTGCCAAATGTTAAAAACTAAAAATGCCTCAGCCTTTCCCATGCAAGGTGCCTATAATGCACTCAACTTACTGTCACCTAAGGAGCTAGTGCTAATCTAAGGCAATAAGGCAAGTACCTTTCTAAACATTCCTGTAATTGTATCTTTAAGTTTTATATGAGAGCCTAATCCAACTTTAAAAGTTATGATTTAATTAAAAGGGTTATTTTCATCACTTGTAAGGATTCTCAATGATTTAGGAGTCCTTAAGAAACCTAAAGAGTAGCATTGTCATTATTTAATAAGGAAAGACACAGCACCCAAAGTATAAAAAAAGAATTAAAACAGTACATAAAAGTTATTTTATTTTTCATTCATATTTTTTTTTATTGGCAACTGAAACAGAGTACACATTTTCCTAAAAGGAAAACAGAAAACATGTTCTCCTCAACATCTATGTCAGAATATGCATCTGTCTGATTTTCTTTAGTATTTGATGAAAATCATGAGAATCTGGAAGGCACCTTGTTCTGCTTGGGCAACTGCCTCTCAGGGACAGTGTGTAACACTTCAAATTCACCTTTTTGCTTTTTCCACATTGGTTATACCCTAGTAACTTTGCATGATTCTTATACGATTAAGGTGTGCCTCTAGCAATGTGCTGTTTAAAAGGGAATTTAACATTTTTTTCCTACCTCAGAGTTTTCTATAATGATGCATACAATGGTATTTGTTGAAATGATATCTACTAGGCTTTCATTTAAGCCAAATCAAGATGCTTTATTCTTTATGTTGTAGAAAATATTTTCATGGTCTTTTCCATCATTAATTGAATTTTTCTTGTGAGGATGATTGTGCATGGATTTTATTTGTTCTGTTCCATGTATTATGCATTTCTTGATTCTGAGGGGAATGATTTCTTGAGGTCATCACCATCTGGAAATCACCAGCCATAACCTGTGTTTGTGTATGGTTAAATATTTTGATGTCATATGGAACTACAATGTTTGAATGAAATATGAGTCCTTAAGAGTTTTTTGGCTGACATATGCATTCACGATTCTCTTATAAACCGAAACTTTGTATTGAAATTTATCAAATTTTAATGTCACGTCTCTCCGAATCAGAGGGTATTTGCTATGATATCTTCCCAGTTCTGATGTTTTCTCTTCTACTGTCAGGACACTATGCTTTATCGACATGACAACAGATGTTTGACTTGCAAGTTCGGGGTGTTGCGCGAAGCTGTTATCTCAACTCTACGCTAGATATTTTACTTGTTTCATCGATTTTAGTAATTTTAGTGTTTTTCTCTGTTAGAATTTACTATTTTTTTAATTTTGCTTTGTACATTTTTAATTTTTGGTTTTTTTATTATTTCAACTTTTATGTAATTTAATTTCCTAGAGTATGTTAGGAGTATCTTTGCTGGCTGCGTGATAAAATGGTTAGATTTAGTGCTTTTTTAACATTGTTTGCATGCTAGAAAAGATAAGGAAAAAAAAAAAAAACTGTATCTGCTCACAATATCTGATTTTGTTTAACTGTTGAAATAAAAACATAATTACTTAAGAGTTTATTGTTTAGGTTAGAAACTCTATGGTTCAGAAGGCCCAATTTTAATTATGTACTCTGTCAATCTTATTATGAGTTGGGTTGATATGATTTAGGAAAAATGATCTGACAAGCAGGTCTCTATTTTGTTTTAACCAAGCATATTCCTAATGTAGAAAACGTTTTCAAGGCATTATGGTTTGGAAAATAAATTATCTTGTGCAGATTACGCTCGTTGTAGAAATATTAGGATTTATAGCCCCACGTGACAGCCCTCAATAATGCCGGGTATTGGACTACGTTACTGGGCTTGAACGGTTGAACAAACGTTTGGATCCACTCGTGGTAGGCGCGTAAAGTAGGGATATTGGGCCCATAAGGCCCGTTCAAATGAACTACTAGGCCTTCTAGGCCCATGGAGCAGTGATGTGGGATAGTAGCCCAACTTAATAAAACTGTTGGGCTTAATTCAGGCCCATTAAGTAGAGATACGGGCTTTATGGGCCATCTAAATTAACTTTTGGGTCTCAATGTGGGCCCATTAAAGAGCCCACTTAAAATAACTTGGGAATTAATTTAGCCCATTGAATTACCCACTTAAATTAACTTTTGGGCCTCAATTTAGGCCCATTAAAAAGAGATTTGGGCTGTAAGGCCCACTTAAATTAACTATTGAGCCACCTTTTGGTTAAAATGGCCCACTTAACTTATCCTTGGGGCCTCAATTTGTGCCCATTAAGAATAAATTTGGGCCTTAGGGCCAGCTTAAATTAACTATTGGGCCACATTTTGGTCAAACTGGCCCACTTGGACAGTTGAACAAAACTTTCGACCTACTAGGGCCCCTTTCGGGTAAATATTGCACCAATAGACCTATTTTTCTAAACTTTTTTGGCGAACATAAGGGAATATGGCTCATTTGCACAAATTCACGGGACCCAATATTGACCCATCAATAAAATGCCTTCTGTATTAGGGAGAATTTAGTCTTCTTAGAACCATTTAATTTCAACCCAAGTCTCAAACACTAACTATCTTTCAATATACAGAACCCACATTAATTAATAAAACCTCCTTGAACAGAGAATAAAATAAATTTTTTGTTTTCAAGTCTTACAAAAACTTGCATATTTCTTTGGTCCAATTCAATAAAACTTAAAAGTAACCGAGTGATGCACATGAATGCTGGTCTTCTAAAAACGAAAACTTATGAATCAAAACATTTTTGAACAGAAGGGAAATCAAATTAGAATATTCGAAGATATCAAAGTTTTCTTGTCATGGAATCAAATGGAAGCAACCCTAAACATCTAACGGCAAACATAACTAAAGCAATAATACAGTTCTTTTATGTCATAATTAAACTACAAATCAGGGTCGATATAAAATGATGTCAATCAAAAAAATAAATAAAACAAATAAAAAGAAGAGAGACAATATATAGAGACAAATTACTCGTTGTTTACCATGTAGCCAAAAAGACTAAAGCAATAAAAACAACGATCAACAGATAATCATCTCCTTCTCACCTAATGTTTTCTCAAGAAAAGGGCTTTAAAGCATCAGATTAACCCTAGCATTTTCTTAACATTTAAAAAAGACGTACTAATCTAACTAATCCCTCTTAATATCATATATCCAAAACAAATAATTATGGCATGCTGCTAACTAACAAATTAAAAGTAAACAATAATTAAAGTAGTAAAAAAAAACGAAAATTTATAATGGCCATTTACAAACCAAAAAGAAATATAATAACAAAAATAAAAACTACAAATAAGGATGGAAACAAAAATTAAAAATTTTCACTTTTTTCCCCGAAGCTTCATACATTAACTGAAAAATGAAAATCATCTTCTTCATCAATGCAATGGCCTGCCAGGCAATCTCAGAAAATGGCCCATCGTAATCTCTCTGTGGGTCTTTAGAAAAACTCACAAGTATCAACAAAGTATGCTGTGGTGGCAAGTAAACAATTTCATACAATCATAAATCAAGTAGATAAAGTACTAAATTATAAGCAATTAAACTTATGAGGCTGAAAATGTAGCAATTAATACTTTACTGAGGATATTTGTCAATGACAGCAGTAAGCCAGATTGGCTACCTAGCACAGGCAATTACTGAACAAAATGTGGATGCGTTTAAACAGAAATGAAACAGCACAGTGTGTCCAAAGGATACCTGGGGCAGAAACCATTGATTGTTAAAGGCTCCCGCAGAAGCTTATCTAATTCATCCACAGACCCCTGCAAATGTTGCATATAAGATTCATATTTGGGCTTCATGTATAAATGTAAAACAGCTAATATGTCACCTCCAAAGCTTGCTAAAACATTACATAGTGCCTTGACTGCTTTAACTAAACCAAGGCAGCAACACCAAAAAGGGAGGGGAGGAGAAGGTTAATAAGAATAACAATTGCTTTAACTAAACCAAGGCAGGAGATGAAAAATGAGGCTGAAGAAGAGGATTATATTACTTCTAGACTTTTAGTGAATTAAGTAGAAATCATGGTAAGGGAGACCAAAAATAGACTTTGCAAAGATCAAATGATACGAAAAACCATCAATAATCTCCGTGATGAATGCATACAAGCAAAGTGAACTTCTTAATTTTAATTACACACTATAGAAGATGGTTATGGTAGTGATTTATGTAGAAATCTTTACATTTTTGGTGGGGAGGAATCAAATATAGACTTCACAAAGATCAGATGATATAAAAAATCACTACTGCTACAAGAAACAAAAAAACCTTGTCCAAGGCATCTTGTCACAACTCACAACCAAGCAGTCTTACTCAAGAACAATGTTTTCTTATATGGTACATGACATGCTTTAACAATTGCAGTTCCTAAATTATTTATTTTCTTTTGTGAGAGAGAAAGAGACGTAACCTTGAAGGCATAAAGAAAGCATAAGGATTAGTGATAACAGATTTAGAAGGCCTACATAGGTGCCTCATGCCTAACCCTCCAAAAATGCCACATCTGGCAGCTCTATCTAACCAGAGAAAGCTGGGGCCTATGAGTGAGCATTCCCTCTATTAAATTCACAATAACTCAATGTCAATCACATCAAAATCCTGTATAACCAATTGCAAAAAGGATTATCCTTCTGCCTTAACCACTAAAGTTTCCTTGATCAAACAAATTATGCTGATCAACCTGTTTCAACTTTCAATTTCAAACAAGCTAGAAAACCAGTAACAACTCAGACTGACAATGTTGGAATTCAGCACTAATGTACAAATGTATGTACATGTCTCCCAATGTACGTAGATAAGAATCCATCCTAAACATAGGCAAAGACAATAAGGCACATTGAAATAACAGCCTTTAATGTAGAGGAAAAATATTGGTGTACCTTGCATCCTAAATCTCCTCCAGCTCCTGTTGCCACAGTGTACTTTTAAGCAGACAAATCAGGCACGTTTTCTCTAAAGACCTCAACTCCATTATCAACCAACCCTAACCTACACATACATTTAATAATATTATTAAAACTTTAAAAAAAGGGCAAAACATTAACATACATAGCAAACAGCATCAACAACTCAAATCATAGAACTCCATCGCTTAATAACAAAAACCTTAAGAACAGATGTAGACGATTTAAACCTAAGTTTATAATGAAATTCAGCAACCATTCTATCAAACTAGTCAACAGCATTGTTGCATTAATCGGCTTTACCATAAGCCTGATAAATAACAACGAAAATTTAACCCTAATTTCATGCTTTCTTCGATTTAAAACCTTCTCTAAAGATAGGCCTTGCGTGCATAATTATGTACAAGATAATAAAAGGTGGAATTATATATATAAGAACTTAATTCGGAAGCCTGAATATTTGGTTAGAGATTAGGGATCTTTCTCGTCCTCACAAGAATGGATCGATATGAAAAAGAGAAGCTGTGCTTGACATAATCCGATGCTAAACAGCGACAATCTACCCTCGAGGCACCAGTCGGCGCATCGGGAGCACAGATCTGACGACCAGGGCACCGTGCGAGGGCAAAAAAAACCATCGAGAATGCTCTATCCAAATATCTTGGCCGGCGGGGACGGATCGTCAGTCTGAGAGACCCGCCATGTGACCAACGCATCGCCCGGTGCCGCTCAGCCCTTCCACCAGACGGCTATCGGACGCCCACGGCACTGAACGAGGGCTAAAAAGAATCAAGAACTCTGTATCCAAATTTCTTGGCCAACGCGGTCGGATCGGCAGTTAACAAACCTGGCCTGAATGTTATTTTCTTTCTTTGTCTTTTGTAGGTAATAATGGGCTTCTGTAAATTCAACAAACTTAGGGCCGAAAATAATAGGACCCAAAGTGTTTGCTCTACCCATAACTCATAAAGTGACGGCCCTAGGTCTATTTACCAATTATGGTAGATTCTATGGGCTTTGAGACCATTCTAGCTTTTTTTTGGGCCAGCGAGACCATTTCAGCACGATAAAGCATTAGTGAATTAGTTCTATTTTTGAAGGCCAACAAAAATTAGTTCTATTATTTTCTTCTTTGTTGTAAAAGAGTGAAGTTGAGTTGATCTTTCTTTTTTAAATGTACTTTTGAATTCTATGAAATTTGTTTTCAGCTCTTGAAAAGTTACGAGTGAAACTACAAACATATAACTTTTGGGGCTGAACTATTGCTTGGTGACCCCTCTGATTAAGTCTTTCTCATAAATAAGAATTTATTTATATAT